ATAAGCTGTTGCTCCGTTTAGGTATTTTGTAAGCCAAGATTACAATGCGGGAAGACATGCCTCGACTTACAGTGTGCACAAAGCCAACTGTGGTCTTTGGAGACCGAGTAACACCAGTCATCTGCACAGCTGGAGAAGAGCTTTCACCACGCCGGAGTTCGTGGACGGCGCTATCTGAACTGTTATAAATGATCAAAACTTATGTCTGTTGAACTCTCGTCTAACTGAAGAACGAAGTAAATTGTGTTTTTGATGTCCCTTGTTTTGTATTTGATTCTTTTTTATAGTGGCGTGTGCTACAAATTTGCGAGCTCTTTTGAACCCTATGAAGACCCTATTTTGCCAAAAACTTCTAACACACTCCCGTACCTCGGCTCGCTACTGCTCTCAGAACTTAATTCTGAGCCATAAAATTATGAGAAAAATACAAAGATAGTTTTCGAAGCAGGTGGAGCTACTTCAGATAATGTTGCCGCTACTAATTTGATCTGCGTTGTAGCATTCAGGCGCAACCAATTTTTTTAGTTTGCCATTCTTTATTTCGAATGTAAATATGTACAGATTTTGATAACTAGCTGCTTTAATATTTCAGAACATATAAAGTTTGCCCAGCTGAAGAAATAAACAAATGTTAGATGACTAGTTTTACAAGGTCTAATACAGTTTTAGTGGACTGAGTGAAGTTAACTTATTTGATTCGTGTGATTTTCTCACAAAAGTCTTCAAATTTGTTCACTTTCGATACAACTTGCCGGTTTTACCTTTATTTTTTTTAATGAAGTTCTAGAAAAAAAATCAGTCGTTTTTTCGGCTTCTTTGAATTTAGTAACATTTTCCCAAATGTGTGTTGGCTATTTTGTTTTTTCTATTTTGATCCTTTTTACTAAACAATTGTGTAAAATCTACGCAGAAACAAATTAGGAGCGATGTGGTCATCTGAAAACTGTGAGCATGGTTTAGTGTCATCGAACTAAAAAAAGACGTATATTTAGGTTGTGTTTGTCAAGACTTGTTCACGCTCAAATTTGATTTTTTCTTGCGTATTGTTTTGTTAGTTCATTTCACATTCATTTGGTAGATGACAGGCAATTTGAGTTCTCCAATAATAAACTTGCAAATGGTGCGAAAAAACGTGAGTGAGTTTCAGTTTCAAAATTGTACTTTTTGAGATTGCCCAGAAGAAAATTTTTACCTATTGGTCCAGTGTTCGTTAGTATGGCTTCTCCTAGTGTGGCGTACCCCGGTGTATCCTGGGTATTTAGTCTGAGCTTTTGGGCTGTTATTTGTACTTGCTATTGCTAGCATGATGTCGTCGTTTTACTAGGACGGCTGCGATATCACCAACAGTTCATCAAACGAGGCCCTTTCTGCCAACGTCCTACGACGCATCGCCCACTGCTCAAAGACGTAGGTGCGAACCTTGGAGAGCCTTGCTTCGGCAAACCTAAACCTTTGGGGTCACCCGACATTTTAGCATTGCGCTCGCCATGTTTGGATCCGGCCTTGAAAGCCACCAGACTAGTGTCATTAGTAGTCTCGCAGGTCTTCGGATAGAGAGGACAATTGGCGCAACTTTTTGTGTTAGTGGAGACCAGGAGCCGGGGACTGTGTTCTACAGAATCCCCTGATGATTGTGAAAGATATTTGTGGAAAATAGGTTTTGCCGAAGTTGCCATTAATGGTAACCGCCACAATGCTTATAGCAATGTGGATCCTATGATATAATCATAGGAAATGTTTTTACCCGGTGATTTTAAAATGGTGAAACTAACTCTCAGTGATGGCCTTTTATAGCTATGAGAATACTGAGGAGGACATGAAAAATTTTGTCGCTGTACAGACTATTTTAGAACTAATAGGCAATATCTGGCTCATCGTTTGATATGAAAATGAGCTTCTTTGCGAAGTCCTATTTCTTCTTATTGAGTGTGAAACATGAACTACTTGTTTCTGATTTTAATTCTAGTATCTTCGTGTTGTCTGTAATAATTTCTAATAAATCACAACTTCCATTTTTTCGGCTTGAGAAGTTTTTGCGTGATGTTCTTAGAAGTTTTTTTAAACATTTGTTGTTTTTCGCGAGAAATTCTGACTACTCTTTGCATATCTACATGGCCTCTGACGCATGTCAAAAGTTTTCAAAATACTAAATTTTTTTTTTTTTTCAAAAATGTCATTTTTTTCAAGATCAAAAGACCAATTTTTAAATTTTTTTTTCCAAAAAAATGATGATTGGCCAGCTCCGTTTTGTTTTCCGGATATTAATAATTATTTGAATTCAGTTTTTGTGTTCCATGTTTCAACGAAAGTGAAGAATATATACCCTTGGGTTGGTTTTTATTCAGACCAATTTTATCAATCGAAACAGTTGATTTTTTGTTCGCCAATGAGGATATCGACTCCCTGAGTTCAATATATAAAAATAGTTTGCCTTCATTTTTACTGGTAAATTTGGCGTTCTAGCAAAATTGTTATTTTCTGGATTTAGTTAATCTCGCCTTGAAGATTGATATTTCATGCGAGAAGCGTAATGCGAATTAATTATGCGTGGCGAATTATCGCGCACTCAAAATTGCTCCAAATTAAATGGAGGCAGCTATTTAGTAATGTTAATACTCTATACGACTCAAAGTTCAATACTCAACTATTTTATTTTGACAGCTGGGGTACCGAAAACAAACTGATTAAAACTTATAGTTTATGAATATATTTTTTTGAAAACTACTTGAGACTATTTACACGACAGTCGGATTATTCAACTGTTCATCTAATATACTCTTCAGATAGCGATTTTTGTTCCGGTTTTCGTAAAGAAAGTAACGGAATACTTGTGCTCGGGGTGGTTTTTATTTTTTTCTGACAAATTTCGCATTTTTAACTAGCTATTTTGGACGGATTTCATTCAAAAGTTATTGTTGTCCTGAGCTTAAATTTTAAAAGAGCTTTCACGTGTCATATTTTGTATAGTTATTGAGGTTTAAAGATTGCGATTTTGGCCAATTTCGGACAATTAACGGGCGATATATTATCCGTCCTATAAATTGTTCCAAATTGGTTCAAGGAAGCTTATTTCCCATAATTGATTTATGAATAGGAGCGAAATCTATTACTTCGTACTTTATATGGCGTGTGGGGGATGATTTTCACAAAAATCCTAAATTAAAAAATAAGTTTAGCTTTTTTTATTACATTTAATTTTTTCATGTTATTACGGCTCCGTCGACCTTCAATGGCAGTCGGAACATTCAGAGCTTCGCCCTGATAGGAGCAGTCTTGTTTGGCTTTTGAATTGAGAAAGCTAATGAGCTGCCATTTTTGTATGCTGGTTCAGTTTTCGTTTGCTGATATTTACAATTTTGAATCAAGCAAGACTGCTCGTTTATCAGGGCGAAGCCCTGAATGTTCCGACTGTCCTTTAATCCATATCGAATAGTTTTTGGGAAAAGAAAACATTGAAAACCTATATATTTTGGACAATATCAAAGTGCAAAATGTTGAGTCGTACGAAATTAGCTAGCCTCAATTCAATTTGGAGCGATTTTGTTTGGCGGGATAATTTGCCAAGCATAAATAATTCGCGTTACGCTCTCCGCATTATGAATAAACTCTTCAAAGCGCGCATAATTTAGTCCATAACATGGCCAATTTGACAATTTTCAAACCCCCAAAACTTTACGAAAAATAATTGGAGGTGAAATATATTATTACATTTGAACTCAGGAAGTCTATATCTTCAATGGGGTATATTTTTTTTTGTTGAAAATCATTATTTCGAAAGTGAAAATTGACTGACTAAAAAAACACACCGAGCATAAATATTCCGTTTTCTTCGAAAGTCGGAACAATAAGGCATTGGATGTTTGTGATCATTATTGTTTTTCGTCTTCTGATTAAAGTGATGAAGATATATATATTCTTGTGGCGGTTTTTTAATTTAGGCCAATTATACAAAGAATAAGTTGACAGCGAGGGAGCGAGCCATCGGTTCAAATTTCTCGTTTAATACATAGTTTCAATGGGCAATTTTTTTTTATTCTGAGAGACTTGTATCGCACTCAATCATTGCAATTTAAATAGAAGCAAACTTAATTGGTCACACTAATTGCGTATTTGAATCAAACTTAGCCCTAAACAATGGATATTGGCAGTCCAAAATGTATAGCTACCCAAATTTTTATCTGTCAAAAACTATGCGAGACCAGTTAAGGGGCAGTCGGAAGATTCAGGGCTTTGCCTTGATAAGAGAAGTCTGGTTACTCTATTTCATTATGTCTGCTTTGCAATTGATGTGGAGCTCCGCTTCGCATGTGTAGGTTATGCAAGAATGGTCGGCAACTTAGAACCAATCATGCTGATTACCAGTTTTGCTGAATTGTATTGAAATTTAAAAAATGGTTTCAACCAGTATGGCTCTAACCAGCTGTCATTGATCGACTACAGTTCTACAGTACTCGAAGAGATATTTAATACAATTCTTAACATGCATTTCTATTTATTTGGAGATACTCTTATTTTGAAAACCTTATCGACATCAAATTTAGATTTTTTTCAAAACACCAGATGCCGTATAAAGGATTAAGTGATTTTGAACACGACTGTTGGTCTGGAAGTATCTATTGAAGTATCTATTGAAATGATATATCGTCTCAAGTTCTGGTTCATTTTTGCACAAACATTACATGTTTAAGCATTTTAATCAAACTTAAACAAGATAGCACATTGCAAAATGTAGCCTTTTACTGCCTTTTACTGTTTTCACCATTTTGCTACATGGCGTTGCAGTAAAACTCAAATTGAAAACTTAGACTGAAACCTGAAACTACGTATTTCATACAAAACAAGTTTACAATTCCATTTAACTTTTTCATTACAAAACTCACTGCTGCAAATAGAAATAATTACAAACTACATGTTACTTTTGCAAATGTTCCAAAGTCAATAATATTCAATTAATTTTAGTGCTGAGCTTAAAATTTTCTCAAATGCTTTGGAGCACCTGTCGTATCGCGTTTTACATTAATGATTTAAAAATTGATTTCGCTGTTGGTGGTTTTATGTGTTCCAACAAAACAAACCAAAATTGCTTAGTTTTTATATGTATCAATTTTGTGTCATTTTAGCCAAACGCGTTCTGAAAGCGAGTTTTATATCTGAATTATTATACACGCAAGATGGTTCAAATGGCACCATCAGTGGATTTTTAAACGTCAATTTGTTCTCTGTCCTGCTCTCGCTGACTGACTTGCTACTCGTTTTGTTGCTGACTTAATGAACTCTTAATGGTAACACAGCCCACTGCATTCGAAGTCGACGTGACGTCATCAGAGTGTATCTATATCACATATATCTCGTTTTTTAATTACTACGAAAATTAACAGAGACATAGCATGTGATTTAGATCTCGCCAAAACAATAAAATTAAGAGAAAAAAGAAAAGTCAGTAAGTTTTTAACTGACCAAGTGAATCAGACCTGCACAATTGGTTGCCTTAATTTTTCTATGCATAAAACATCTGTTGAAGGCTCGAAAAAAACTATCATTTTGGTGTTACTGAATCATATCTGTTCAAAATGAATTACATTGCAAATGGTACAAACAGCTGGCTTGTTATTATTTTAACAATTATTACAAATCCTTTGTTGTCTTTTGCTTCCGAAAATTCTACCACGACCACAGTCAAACCCGCTCGAGGTCCAACTGAACCCACGAGTGATGTCGTGTCGGATGATGACGTAAGCGATGATTCGGAGACGAACGCAAGACATACTGCTATTGTCTATTTCTGCTTATTCAGTCTACTATTATTACACATGGCTTGCGTAATCATAGCTTGCATGTTATGCTTCCGACATGCAATCAACAACTCGGGCTGGTTTGGCAACCGAAATGGTACACGGGATGAAGAAAATACGACCGGAAACAACGCTGCGTCGCGAGATTCTCTCGATGAGTACTTAGTGTTCACGAAGTCTGTTCAGAAAGATTTATTTCTAAGTTTCGACTCGCCGAAAACTTCGCCCTACCGAATCGAGTTTGTTCATCATGAGCATCAGAGCCGACAACCAATCAAAGTTCCCTTTGTTGGCTATGACTTGCCGAAGTTTGTTGAAACAACTGGTGCTAAAGACTCGGATAAACGAATCTCTACATGCGAAGATTCCCGAGTAACTATCAACCCCTCGGGCATTTCAGTTTCAGGGATAGACAATCCGATATTTAACGATGACAGTCTTGAAAACGATCTGGAACCAACTCAAGACAGCTCTGGATCTGCTGGGGTCAATAGGACTGCAGACGATGTGTTAACCAGAACTAGAACTGAGTTGAGACGATCGGAATCCGCTCTTCCCGATATAAAGACGCTCGAAAAGATCAGAGGCACTTTGACAATTCGGAGCAAAGCTGTAAGTTAAGTCAATGTTAAAGACACTTGAATTAATCGTACATTGCCTCATAGAGTGGCAGATCTCTGGCATGGTAAAAATAGTTCCGACAACGAGATCTCTCCTTACCTTTTACCTTCAGTTTTGCACAACTTGAATAGATTTGACTTCCATAGTGGTACACCGTGTGAAATTTCTTGCTGCAAAAAACGGCTCTCAGTCTAAAAACAGTTGTTTTAATTTGCAAAATACCTTTGTCTAGATACAGACTAAGACATGATACAAATTTGGGCATTCTTCAAAAATGGGGAGATTAACACCCTTCAGATAAATCCTCAGCATTTTTTAGAAATTGAATAATGTTCCGACTTTGAAAATGGGGCTGAACTTAGTATTCGGGTATGTTTTTTTTCTTTTTTTTTCTACTCTAAATCAGCTACCACAAATAATTATCAGAATGGGCCGACTGATGTATCATATAAACGCCCTTTTAGACCTGATTCAAAAAATTTTCACTCAGCTGTCCGTGTGTCGAGAAAAATCGATTTAATCAAGTTTTAGTCTAATTTCCAGCGAGTAAAGCGATCGAGCAACTTTCTCTGTATGATTCGTCATATAGGAAAACTAGTTTTAGAAATTTTCTTTAGCGCTTCCTTGGCAGTATAACTTTTTTCTATCTCTATGAGAAATTTTTGTGCAAAATTACCAATATTTTTTGTGTGTTATTCATTTTTTGAAGACAAATGATGTCGATCATTCCCAAATTACCAGCGTTATATGGGTTTTTATAGTGCTCTTGTCATGCCACTTACTAGAAACGACACTCATTTCATTTTATAAATGGCAATTGTGTGATCAGAATTTTTTTGTATGATTAAGCTTACGATTAGCAACCGTTATCAAATCGGAATGTAGAATTTTTTTCGGGTTATTAACTAGTTTAACAAAATCAGTTGAATAACTTGACATGCTCAATGCCCTTAACCTGACTCAATCTTCAGCTGACATGCTCAGTTTCTTGAAAAATCAACAATAATTACTGGATACTAGATACTACAGATTAGTTTTAGGGAGGACTTGAAACTTCTTTTTTACATAATTTTTTTTGGCTCAACTGGTGTTTGCTCAAAAATTTTCGGCCTTGTTTCCGCTTCGTAAATTTTGTTCAATTGCTTAATTAAGTTTCAAATGTCTTGCTTGACATGTTTCCTTAGAATTTCTGGTTGATAAAAACAGGTATTCTGAAAGTGTATGGGTTTTTTTTGAGTTGCTTTGAAAATTTCAATAGTTTTCCCAAAATTTAGTTTTGTCTCAAAAACTTTTCTACCGGTTTTCAAAAAAGGGGTATCCAGAGAAATACCGCATACTTTTTTGTGTGCCTGCATTCTCCCCTGGTTTTTGCTTTCCATTTTGTATACATTTTGTAGGGGGGGGGGGGTGGGAGTGTTTGACCAATAGTTTTTTTCGTTTTCTCGAAAACCAACCTCTCAAATTTGAGATTGTGGGTTCAATGGAGATAACAAGTAGAAAGAAATTTTCCTATATTAGCGGGCACTCGCATTTTTTACACAAAAAGTTATCGTCCTTGCAAAACTCTTTTTTGATCGTTTTCTAATTTTTATGAATTTACCAAAAAATACCGTCTGAAGTCAGAAATTTTGGGTTCACTCCGAAGAATGAATTGTAAGAAGCTCCTTTGCATTCGTGACTACGCTGAAATTAATTAAACACAAAAGAGTATGGCCCGCGGAAAAGTCAAAATTTTTGTCTTTTCTTGAGAACCACCCTGCAACGTTCCCCCCCCCCCCTTACTCAATCCGCTGGTGACCCTGCCACAACTGAGTTTTTGGATTCAATCGAAATTTCAGGTTGGGTGAGTCTCTTGTGCATAAGTGGCTAAGTCCAATGTTTTTAAACAAAAAGCTATGATTTTGAAAATGTCAACTATCTCAATAACGCGTTAACAGAAAAACGGTAAATAGCGCGCATTTATTATCACAAATTGTCAATTTTGAAACTACCAGAATTTCAGGAAAAAGTAGGTGCAGGTAAAATAACTTCCTGATTTTGAGTTCAGGACATCCATACTTTGAGATAAAATCAAAATTCTGCAAATTAGGTTGATTTAAAAAAAACTTTCCATATGAAAAAAAAACACCAAACATGAACATTCCAACTCCAACCCAAATTGAATTAAGGATGTTCAATTGTTCCGAATAAATTCGAAGGTTTATCTGAACACTTTTTACTTTTCAGTCCCATTGGTATTTTTTGGATGGAAATTAGCATGAAGTTATGGGGGTTATGGCTTTTCCGACTTAATTGAGTCTTAATTGATCCTTTCTGGTATCAAAATCAATTATCTTTATCTGATCTATCGGCACCAGTTCAATACTTCAAAGATACGCTGATTTTGAAAAATGTTTTGAGAATTTATCTTTTATAGCAGACTGATTAAGTTTTCTTAGTTGTGAACTTTAAACACCTTTTTTGCTGAATTTAGATTTGCTCATAACTATCGTAAATTAAAACAAGGGTAGCCCGTTTTTGTGCAAGTAGCACACAATTTTCCGACCATAGTATTAAAAAAGGATCTGAGCAAAAAACTAGAACTTAGGCATATTTGACAGTCAAAGTGAAAAAAGCAAATTGAAAAAAAAACTGTTTTTGTAGAAAAATTACTAGAAAAACTAAAAAAATGGTTAAAAGTTTTGCGCAGTAAAAACTTCAAAAATTAGCTTAACTTGAAAAAAAATAAATTTTTGAGGCTTAAATTAGACATAAATATTTAATTTAAACCTGCTCACTGGCTCGAAGTTAGACTAAAAATCGAAACTTTCAAAACAGTTTTTCTCGACACTAGAAAATAGAAAAAAATTGAGTTTTTTTTTTGGTTCGAATCACGACTAAAAAGTTTTAATGTGATGTGTCATTCAACCCAGACCGATGATTTTTTGCTGTACCTGATTTTGAGTGGAAAACATTAAGAAACAAATTTTCAATGGTCGGAACAAAAAGTAGCAACATTTAGTTTTCAGCCTCAGGAAAATTCAGGTATTTATTGTCATTTTGATTATGCAGGAAAGTTTTTATATGATTAATTACTAGGCCATGAGGACAATAATGTTATCATTTAGCTGATGATAACTTCAATGTCTAATATGAAGTCATAGTTTGTTGTCGTCACTTTCAGCTAGTTTCGCATGTCAATCATGTGAATTTAATTATATTTCAGGGCTCAACTCGGAGTCTGCGTGGTTTTCTCGGCTCATTCGGAGCAATGGCATCTACCTCGGATGCGCCCGTTTCTCGTTCCCGCGTTGCGACCGACAACTCTCCCCCCGTTGAAGTAGAAATGACGCGGAAGTTAACTTGGACCTGTCCTATTTGTCTAATTGAAGAAGATGCTGGTCAAACCGCCGGAAATGGGAGTGATATCATCAACTTTAGCAGGGAAAACTTGCCTTGTTCACACGTTTTTCACATGTGCTGTTTGGCAGACTTGACTAGACATACGCTCAAGTACAAGAAGCCGTTCTCGTGTCCAATGTGTCGGAAAAAATTTTCTGTCTCACTGGTGAAGAAAACCGCATCGGAAAAAAGGATTCATCTCTACGGAAATTTTTGACATCATAATAGAATAATAGAAAACTCCACTAAAATTTGCCGTTGATTTGGTATGAAACTGTTTGCTGCTAATTGCGAAAGGTTATTTTGCAATCCGGCAATTCGTAACGACGGTCGATGGTTCTGAATTTTTACCAAGGCGATAATTAGCAAAATTCTTCATTTTAAATTTGTAAACATGGATTTTTATGTTAATTATTTTTTCGGATAATTCTTAAGCGGTCAAAATTATGTTCTGACTACTGGAAAAGTGGAAAGCAGTTTTCAAGAAATAAAGGAGGATTGTTTACTTTTTAAAATTCCCTAATCAAAATTAACATCTGATAATTTCAAATTCTAATTGCAATTGAATTTAGTTTTTTTCCCTCTGAAATAAACCCAAATTTTTGGCGTTTCTTGTGTCAAAGAAAAACCAAAAATAAAATGAAGGCAACAAAACTATGGCTTAACTTCATTCAATACGGAGTTTTTCGATTTGTGATCAGTTTTAGGATGAAAGTTCTCATAATTATTTTGAAATCAAATGGTCGCCCGTTACGAATTGTCAAATCATCGCTTCTATTATAGTGTAAAGTTAATTCGATATCATGAAAAAAGATATAGTCACTTTAAAAACTCAAAATGAGAAGTTCATCATTGAGAGGAACAATGCCAAAATTGTTCACCCGGATAACTGTTATCATTACACAAAAATTTCCGGCGAATCACGTATAAAGCTCGTAATCAGGGCAAAGCCCTGAGTGACCCTACTGCCCTTTAACCTATATCGAATATATTTTGGGAAAACAAAATATATTTAAAAACTACAAATTTTGGACAATATCAAAGGCAAATTGTGAAAATTTGAGTGGTACGAATTTAATACGACAGATTACCTAGCCTCAATTCAGTGTGGAATGACTTTGATGTGCGGGATAATTCGCCAGGCATAAACAATTCGTCTTACATCATGGATTATTGATTAAGGTTTATGGATAAAACCATCAAAGCGCGAACTAACTAGTCCAGAGCATTGATATCTTCATTGGGACTACAAAAATTTGTTAAAAACTATTATTTTGATCACCGAAAATTGATTGAACAAAAAAAACACACCAAGCATAAATATTCCATTTTATTCGAAAGTCGGAACAAGAAAACTGCACGTATACATGGCAAAACCCTGAATGTTCCGACTTCCCCTTAATACATATCGAATAATTTTTGTGAAAAATATTGAAAATTTTGAAGTTTTGGCCAATATCAAAGATCGAATTTGAGTCGTGCGAAATTAATATGACCGATTAGCTAGCCTCAATTCAATTTTGAACTAGTTTGTTGTACGGGATAAATCTCGCTGCATAAGTAATTCACGTTAAGCTCTCAGCGATTACGTAGCAGCATTTAAACAACCACCTATTCATACTCGTCAGTGTGTAGACAAACACTACTTTAACCAATCAGAATTGAGACGAGGAAGAAACAATTTATTAATAATATATTTACTTCTTAAGTTAGCTTTCTCATCTCAATTCTGATTGGTTAATATAGTATTTGTCTGCTTGCTGACGAGTTTGAATACGCGGTTGTTTAATTACAGGCCGCACTCCGCTCTCAGCCTTAAGAAAAAAATTGGCAATTTTTCAACTCCCAAAATTTTACAAAAAGTGATCGGAGGTAAAATATATTTTTAAATTTGATTTCAGCAAGTCGGCATGTGGCATAAGAAATATTCTTGAAAACTTTTATTTTGATCGCCGAAAATTGACTGAATAACAAACCACACTGAGCATAATTTTCCGTTTTCTTCGAAAGTCGGAAGAACAAAATTGCTGAAGCATAATTCCCGTACTTTGATACATCTTGAGAATGTTCAAAATTGATTCTAAAAGTCACTGTTATTTGTACATGCTAATCTGAAAATTGAATTCAAAAATCTCGAAAGATGTTTGATAAAAAAGAGTTCGAACAGTATCATTACAGTAAGTTATAAGAATTGAACCGGTTTTTTAGAGATATTGATTAAATTATTAGGTTTTTTTAACTAGCAAGGAAATTTGCCACGCTTGTTTCGCACAAATTCTTTTCAATGATTCAAGATGTTTACACTGATTCAAGATTTTTTTTTCCAATATTTAAGTTAAAACCAAAATCTAGAGTGAAGTTTTCTTCATTCTTAATGCATAGGTTTTAAGGGAATTGCGAAAATTGAATCTTATATAAAAAGGCAATTGATTGTATTAATTACGAGACAACTTTTTCAAAAAAATTGCTAATTTTGTTTGTGAAAAATACTTGAAGACATCTGACGTAGACACTGTCTGTTGTTTTGAGGTTGTGATGTCAATTTACGTATTTTATGACTGTTTTTTTCTGAATTTTTTATGTTTCCTAATTTTTGCAGTTGTTGCGAAGTAAAGCTATGCATTTGTGTCAAAAATTTTCATTGTTAAGATTTTGTGAAACAATGGTGACATACAAAATCGATTACTCAGCAAAAACATATTTATGCAACGCATAAGGTTTTAGCATTCGGCAGTAATCACTTACTTCAGTTCATTGAATGTAACAGCAAATATCAGTTTTTATAAAACTTATTCACAAACAATAACTGAGCGAAACATTCTTGGGAGCAAAAAATTTAGTAGCAATAACGAGAAATTTTATAAGGTTAATTATGAAGACCAACAGTGTGTGCATAATGAATAAATTGCAAAACAAAAATCAAGTTAAAAATCCAGCATTTGCGTAACTTGAAAGCCTTTTGTGTTATTTTGGCTTTTGGTGAAATAGGATGAAAAAAAATTCTCATTACCATAAATATAGTTTTTTCATTGTTATTGCTCTTGTGAAAGCAAGTTTCCTGCAATCGAGAACTAGCTTTTTTACACGTTAGAAAATTTTTTAACAAAACTGTACGAAATTAAGAAGTTGCTTTATTAGTGAAGCATTGCCACTTCGAAACTCCTTCTGGGTGTGTTGAATATTTGGATTATGATTATGATTATGATTACTATGATTTAACGAACGCTCAAGTGAAGAGCCAGAGAAAAAATAATAATGGAAGAGTATCCCAAAAACTTTTGATCATTTTTGATCATTCATTTATACCATCTTAAATTTAAAAAAAAACAAGTATGCTCCCTAAATTTATGCTGTCAATAAATATTAGTTCCTTTGGCTTAGACTAATTTAGAACGATCAACACAAGCAAGGAGATCTTATAAAGCCTGTTTTAAGCAATGATATGGATTTTTAAACTTTTTGTTTTCAGTCTAATTTCGAGCGAATCAAGTATACCAGTAGATTATGTAAAAAAACTATAGCATAAAAAGCATTTAATGAAATTCCACTTAGCATTTTCCTTGAACAAAACTTTCAAATTGAGCTTTCCTGATTACCCTTGCGATAAGCAGGGTATTGCAACCGGGTACTAGATTTTTTTCCCGTTAACAGCTTTGTTCACAGGACTCAATTGGACGTCTGGACTCATCTCTATCTTGTTTCGTAATGTATTCAAATTGCTAAGAGTTACTGGCGAAGTTAGCGTGAAGGTACCGAGTAAGCCTTGGACGGCAAAGGCCCTGGGTTCGAGTCAGACTAGGACCTGTTTTTTTAAACGGGAAATTATATTTAAAAAAGTTATCTGCCAATTATTTGTCTGCTTGTCTGTTGTCAGTTTAGCTGTCACATCTGGGGATTTTTATTTAACAGCATTTTTAATGTTGTTTTAAGTGTTTGGTCTACGACAACTTTTTGTAATTTTATTTACCTTGACTTCAAATTTCCAATTTTTTTTGTTTCGCTAAAAAAAATTCCTCGGCCAAAATTGTTTTAACCGATTTCTTCATCGGCTTAATGGCATAATTTTGAGGCGTTTCAGGATCAACACAATTTCAGCGCTCCCCTCCGCACTTTTCAAATTGGTTGTATATTTTCCTATCTATTTGTTGAAACTTCATTTTTTTTTTTTCGAAAACTTTTTCACTTTTTGCAAAATGTTTAGTTTTTCTCAGAAATATATCCTGACTTTAAATAAAGGAGTATCAATTGAAAGACCGCTGATTCCTCTGGGTGCCTGCATAATTACCTAGAGTCGTTTTCACTGGACCCCTCTATCTACATCCCTCGAAAAATTGTGGGGAAATATTTGACCCATATTTTTGATTTTTTTTTCATTTTCTCGAAAAATAAATCTCTCAGATATGAGTTTTTGGTTTCAATGGAAAAAATTGTTTTAAAAAGTTGGCCTGCACAAGTGGCTAGGACCAAATTTTTTTGCTCCTAAAGTTATGACCCTCGGAATAGTTAAATTTTTGGTTTTTCAATGTTTTGTGGGTCTTTTCGATTTTTCTCGAAAACTACCTCTTAAAATTATATTGTGACTTGAATGAGATAAGAGGTAGTGGGAAGCTCATCTGCAATAGCGGAAACTATCAATAGTTTTCCACAAGAAGTTACTGCCCTCCTAAATGTTCAATTTTTCATTTTTTGACCGTTTTTTCAAACTTTTTGATTATTTTCAAAAATTACCCTGCCATACCTGAGATTTTGGGTTCAATTTTCAGAACGGGCTACCAAAAACTTAAGCCCTCGGAAAATCAAATATTTTATTGTGGCAACAATTTTGTTTTTTTTATAGTTTTTTGACTTTTCTCGAAAACTATCACCCCAAATCTGATATTGAGGGTTCAATGAGATAAGGGATATAGAGAAGCTCTTCTGCATTAGAGATCACTAACAAAAAAATTACGCTACAACTTATTGCCCTCTGAAAAGCCAAATTTTTGGTGCACTTAATTTTTTTCAACATCTAAAAAAAAAATTTTCGACTCAAGCTTTTTATAAGTTTGAATTGTATCGCAAGTGGTGCAAAGCTCCGCTTCGCCTCTAAATAAGACTTGAATGGTCGATTTTAATTAGATTGCTGAAACCGGTAAAAAAATTTCCAAGTTAGTTTAAGCCTCTCTGCACACAAAATTCTTAGCTGAAACAAAACAAGGGGAAATTAAAAGCATGTATATTATGAATATCAAGGAGAAAAAAATGGTTTTGCTTTAAATCAACCAAGGCACGTGAATGGATTCTGGATGTGCAAAATTGCACTCATTTTATTACGTCCGTAAAGTTTGGGAGTCATTAGCTGCATTTATGGAGCTGCATTTATTTATACTTGTATCTAAACTTTACTACTAGATTTTGCACCAAGTTTTTAAGTGTATTCCAGTGACTTCAATTATAAAGTGCATTTTCGATTAGCAAGGGTTTTGCAACCGGCACTAAACTTTGTACCCGCTTACAGTTTGGTTCACAGGACTCATCTGGGCTATTTCCTGGTGGTACTTCAGTTCATAAAAAAATTCAACAAGTTTGGCGTCTGCGGTTCACTTAACCTTTGAATAGAATTTACAGTTCAAAGTTTTTTATGACAACATTTTTGTTTTCGTTTCTACTAGAATTCATCCAAGTTTTATGGGCTCACATGCCGCTATATAATTGTTTTTGAAATATGAAATGCCGTTTATTATGTTTTGGACGTACTTCCGCGAATAGAACATCAATCAAGACAATTTTTTGAAGTTTTTTGTCGTTTTTTTTTTTCAAATTTGTTTCATTTTTTTGGGTTTAGTGGCTCTCTTTTTTTGTCTGCTAGCTTGCAGTGAATCCCTCATACGCGATGGACTGAATGCGCGAAAATAAAAACCAGCCAATTAGATTTCAGTAATCTAAAATTTGGAAACATTTCCAGGGACTGAATATTGATATTTGCCGAATATAAAAACGGCAGAAATTGGCAAAATTTTCAAATTGTCACTGACCACCGCCGAATTGGAACAAACTTTATATTTTATAGGTTTCGTTATGAAAGAAGCAAAAAATTGCTTCATTTAATTCATTTTAATTCAATGGCAATTGCTTCTTTTTAAAAAATTGACTTTCGGCTAATTTTGTTTTCGGTCAATCGCCCACAAGTTTTTTCGCCCATTCGGTCCTTCGCGCAAGAAAATAGCCCCCCTAGCTTGCTACGATATTCTTATGGTAATATCTCAACTTGCGCCTCTGTTTAATAATTGTCAATCAAGTCTCGAATTGTTTCGAGCTCTGCAGTTTTTGGTGTTTGAGCTGGTACTTTAATCTGCAAAGATTTAAAACCATTTGTTTTTAGATCAAATATGAACAAAAAATTTTATGAAAAAGGCCTTTACGGTGAAACCCACGGAATCGTTGTTTTTCGATAAATTGATTGTGCAGTGTTGCCTCACCGCAGCAGAGATGCTTAGCGGTGGCAAATAAAGAAACTGTGGGCCGAAGTTTTTGTGCTTTCTTACTCTTTGTGTTTTTGCAAAGATTTCATTTCACATATTTTTGCTCCGACTTTCGAAGAAAACGGAATATTTATGCTCGGTGTGGTTTTTTTATTAAGTCAACTTTCGCTGGTCGAATTAAAAACTTTCAACAAAACTTTATATACCCCATTGAAGATATCGACTTCCTATGTTCAAATGCAAAAAAATATTGTACCTCCGATTATGTTTTGTAAAGTTCTGGGGGCTTGAAAATTGCCAAATTGGCCATATTCTGGACTAAATTCTGCGCGTTTTGAAGATTTTTTTTCGTAATGCTGAGAGCGTAACGCGAATTTTTTATACGTGGCGAATTATCCCGTACAACAAAATCCTTAAACATTGAATTGCAGCTAGATAATTGGTCGTATTAATTTCGTACGACTCAAAATTTCAATCTTTGATATTGTCCAAAATTTATAGGTTTTCCATATTTTTTTTCCAAAAAACTATTCGATATGAATTAAGGGAAAGTCGGAAAATTCAGGGCTTTGCCCTGATATACGAGCAGTCTTGTATTCTTATATTCTTAGAAAGGCAATTTTGATGATTCGTAAATAAGCTTCTGGATTTCAGTCGTGTTTTCATATTCACTACTCTTGGGGGTAAGCATTAGCTTAAATCTAGACAAATAAAAGAGCAAATATTTGAAACATCATTTTATGGTTGGTTGAACGAGCGTCTTTTGTTCGATGGTTTATAATTACTAACTACGACATGATGACATACAACGCACCATATAGAGATGAAGGTTCCACATATTGAGCTCATTCGAAGTTATCTTAGTTACGTGAACATCAAAATCTGTTTTAAAGTGCCTGACTTGTTTTTTCGATTTTTAAAAATCATTTATTATATAACCATGTTGATTTTAATATAAAACAAGAGAGAGAGAGAGCATTTATTTGATATAAAAAATAGATTAAAATTTATTATACACGCTTTTTTTTACACTTTTGGATCAGCTTCATAAAGTACAAAATCGTGATAAACTTTTAATGGAAAAAAGAAAACTGACCAGAAAAATACAAGCGATCTCTACTTTTTGTATTGTTTGGTTATGATCTTTTCAGTTAAACGCTAGACCTAGATTTTAAACGCTAGATTTTTGATATAAAAGCTCACTTCGAAAACGTGGTACGTTCATCGAATCTGTAAGCTGACTTAGAGCCGTCACCATTTACATTTCAAGATGCAAGGAGTGAACAACAGAGGATAATAGACCGACAGGACGAAGGTCTGGAACAGATCTATGAGGCTCTCAGGAGGACCAAAAAGGTACGTAGGCAGGATCTACTTAACAGAGATTGGTAAGTAGATTAGGTAAGTAGAATTTTCGACCAATCAGAATGCAGCAAAGTTAGAATTCTCAATAGAAAGCTCGAGCGCTAGTTTGCTGTATTTTTTCATAGGGGTGGAGATTCTTAAGTAAATACCATAGGCAGAGGTCGGGTCTTTTCTGTTACACGGCTCAAAATTCATTGTTTTGCTATTTTGACAAATGGATTATAATGCTTGATTCTGATTGGATCAAATTAACAAATGCGAAGAAAACTTGAAACTTAATTGCAAAACCTATTAGCGCATTCAGCGTTTTGGTAATTTTGGGCCGCAAAACAGAAAAGAGGTTTCCGGCAAATAGGACGACAGTTGTTGAGACGACAACCGCTTTTGGTGGGACTTTACAACGACACTAGACACAAATTCATCCAAGTGTATTTCCGATTTACATGTTTCATTTTTCTAATATCACATCTTCACGATTTCTCAAGTCTACCAAATGGTTAAACTTTTTTATAAACGCTAATTGAACAGTTCAAATTTTTGTATGAACTTTAATGGAATAGAATAAATAGTATAGAAGTTGAATATTTTTCCAGTCGGCCGAATTAAAAGTTTGCGCAAAATTTTACAAACAATCGTCTAGACCGTTTATGCTTTGACAAGGTTGTGATGTGAGTTTTCTCAACTTAAGAAACTTAGATGAGTCTTCGGCTCGTACTTTGTTACTGTGTTGTTTTATTTATACACCGTTTTGTTGTATTTGTAACCAATCAAAATGAAATCAAATTTAAAATGAACAGAATATAAGGGCCATATTATCATGGACACCCTAAACGTTCTCTAACATTTAGGTGGGGGCTGCGATCGGAACTGAGATCGACCAGCAGGACGAACTGATAGACGACATCCGAGTGAAGACAGACCACGTGAACGACAAACTGATCACGGAGACCCGACATACTGAAAGTCTCACGCAGAAATCATCCACATGTTTGATGTGGACTATCATCGTGTGTCTCGCAATTGCAATAGTTTTGATTGGCATTCTTGGATAATATTATTACTTTTGGATAAGTGCATAATTGAAGCCACGAGTATCATGAAGCTAGCCCGATACTCTTTTCAAATTTCTGAAATAATTTGTTCTCAGTTTCGTTTTTTTTTCTGTAAAACTAAAACAGGATTGGAAAATATTTGGAAAAATTTGCAAGAATAAAAATTACTCAATTCTGAATCGGACCATGATGGAGACTCATTTCGAGGGCTTGTAATAATTGCCTAGTTTCTTATAATAAGTGACCTTCATAATCTCAGGATTTTTAATCGTAGAAAATCTGTAAAATTTGAAGAAATTTTGTCTAATTTTTTTTTATTGGGTGCGAATATGGGAAAGGGAAAACATCAAAAAACTGAAAAATTGGGTTATTTGGGGATACAATGTTAACCTCGCCATAGAAATTTTTTTCCTATTTCAAATCCCAATTCTTAAACTTCCTAATGCACCCATTTCATATGGTTAAACAATAGATTCCGGGCCACTTAAATATGAAACAATTTTTAAACTAAGCTAAATAGTTCAACATATAATTTTTGATCAAGAAGGCAGCGAAAAACCGAAACGTTTACCATTCCAACCAAGAAAAACACCACTTGTCAAATACTTAAAAAAAACTGTATTCAAGTTGTGTGTGACTTCAAAGAGTTCTACGTTTTGATGAACGCAACTTTCATCATTGTTTAAAAAACTTCAAAAAATTTTGGACCTGCTTATTATCACAATTATGAGTTCTAGGAGGTGAAGTGATGTACTATTCTGAAGTGCGTACGTAATTGAACCTCTAAAAAAAACTCCGAAAATCAAGGGGACATAATATCCTCTTTTAATCTAATATTTCCTTCCTAAAATAGATTTACAGATCAGAAACCGCACTGTCAAAACACCGTAGAAAACAATGTTTTTTTTTTGCTTTTTTCAGAAACTTCGTTTGCAAATACGACACTCATTCTTGAAACTGGCTTTATATGGAGTCTTTTTCAAAGTTATAGGCAACTCTGAAAACTTCCATACCCTATCATTTGTTTAGCCTCGCAATCAACAACAATTGCGGTCTTGTTGCAATGTGGAAAATAGTTTCGAGACAAATTTATTCCTTGCCTTTTATCCAGCGCCAAGATATCCCACTAAGAACCCCAGCAGACAGAAAAACCTAGGTCGAAGTAGCCCACACAAATCAAAATACGTCAAAATTATTAGAAGTCATAAGCAATCAAAGCCAAAAAGTCTCTTTTGAAAAAACTGATTAAATCAACGCTTTTAAAAATGAACGTGAAATCTAATTTTGTTCAAAGCAAGCGTAGAACTTTCAACGCATTTTTCAAATCCACCGATCATTCGACCTATCAAATCAAAAAGATTCGACTTCCTCAACTCACTTGCCACCAACTCACTTGCCAAAAAGAACAAAAACGATTGAGTCACGGTGGGTCAAACAAAATTTTTAGTTAGAAATGGACAAAAATTGTCCCCCAACTTTGTACTGGTTAGTCGGCATGGTGGCAGGTTGTAGGTAACACACGAAAATGTTGTTGTTGCTTTTTTCTTTATCACTTTTCAAACATTGGTACATCTACCATCACAATGAGATCAAAAACTGTATATGGCTCGAAAACTCAAAGTTGTATGAAAAAATAGACAATTCGACAAAATAGTGCCAACAAATTGGAATATAATGGTTTGTCAATTGAGCCAAAGCTTATTGATAATTTAACCTGTCTTGATTAAGTATATTTTAATGATCATCCATTTTTTAATTGAATTCTCGATATTTCTTAACTGTTTGGTTTGAGTGCCGCTTCTTACTTTCAGAATTTTGAATTTCTGGTTTAAAAACTCAAATAGACCAGAGTGTGTCGATCGAGAAGTGGTTGCCCTAAAAATGATGCAACGTCGTTATGCCAGCTTTCAACCGCATGATTTGTTTAAATGAGACTTGCCGCCTCGTTGTAATAGTGGTTCCAGAGAGATGGTAACAAAGGATCAAGCTGATATCGCCCATTTGCTTCTCCTCTATGATAAATTTTCTGGCCAGTTCATCAACTATCTCGAGAGTATCATTTGAAATATCGAAATCCTAAATTGTAACGCAAATTTTGCAGATGACTAAAGGAAACGCGATCTCGACATCTGGGCCAGGAGTTACACTTAAATCAGGGGTAATTTACAAAGTTAAGTCAAGCTTAACCTTTTTTTTCAGACCTAACTCTAACAAAATGCGATGAAAATTTAATCATCATTGAAAAAGCAATCTTTGATTTCATCTAGAATTAGGGACTAAAAGCATTCAAGGCTGTTGGTTCGAAGTCAATCCTGAGACTAAATGGTTTTCGCAATAGGCCTCCACAATTATTGAAACGAGTGGAGGTTTGATTCCGGACTAAATTCTGGAGGAATTTTTCCAGTACGTTCTCTGGTAAAAAAAAATTACCTTGAGAAATTACCAGCATCGAGGATGGTAAGTGTTCTAGTTAATTGCCGAAACGGTACACAAAATTGTCAAAACACACAAAATCACACACGAGACGGTCAAGTCAGATATTTTAAGTTACAGTTATATACTAAAGCCCATAGATACGGATTGACTTTTTCTCAGACCCTAACTACTTATCTTCTGAATTACCAAATCAATACTGAATTCAATTAAACACGTTCAGGGCATTACAGTAGCTAAAAAGAGGTTGATGATCGTTGAACACTCTCTGAAAACCGAGCCTCTGATTCCAATCTCTCCCGGACATAATGTCATTATCTCCTAATTTCTACTGCTCGGGAGGATTTGTAGCTGTCCCAAATATCCCACTGGATTTTTTGGTTTCACTTTCTTCCACAAGTAAGCTCCTTATCGTGTCTACGTGTCACAATAGGAGAATTCGATAGTATTTCCGTTTCCATTCTTATATATTTTCTTCTCTCTCGCACGACTGTTTTTAGTGTCGTTTTCAGCTGTTGTGTGTTTGACACGTTGTCCTCGTCAGAATGGCCATTTTTCGTGTTTCTGAGAAATATTCTAGTGCCAACCGAAAATTTTAAAATTTAAAGCTCTGGAATATTCTGAGCCTCTTTTTCATCCTAACCTAGTAATAAGGACGGTTATCGTCGTTTTCAGCCTGCACTGGAAGGCTGTGCCTTCTGAGGGATTGGTACATCTCCAATGGATAGGATGTTTTTCTCTACTGAACAAAAACAATAGTAATAGAGTACCGACCCTGTTCTTAGGAGAGACCTTGTAGTTTGGGGATAAAGAGTAAAGAGCCTAGAGTAAAGAAGCATGAGCTCAATTTTTCTGCATGAGCGGTCCAGTAAATTTTTTTGCACTATTATTGCATGTGCGGTTCGGCCGATAGCCTTTAAGAAGTAACGATTTTGTCGACCCAATGTTACAAAGACCATGAAGACTTGATTATGGCAGAGACAGTTAAAAGCACCCAAAGCTCTTTTTAGAAGCTAGCCAGTCGTTTTAGAATCAAGCTTTACTTTCGGTCGATATGTAACTCTGGGAATAAAGAGACGCAGCCATGAGCTCACTATTTTTGCAAGAGCGTTTCGGTCAATATTTTGCACTATTTTCGCATGAGCGGTTCGCCCGATAGCCTTAAAATAGTAACAATTGTGTCGACCCGAGGTAGAGGATCTTCTGATGTTCGAGCCTGGGCTCTGAATTATGGGTGCAATGGAATATATCTATTAAAATTGCTTCAAAAGCAACTGAGTTGGGCAATGAAGACCTGCTGTGACAGAAGAAAATTTGATTCTTCATCCGATCTTAAGCTGCAATACAATGTACTTCCAGTTTCCTTGTATCTCGATTGGAAAATAGTTTGCCATCTATGGAAAATCAAACATACACCACTACCGGTATACGTAAAAATCAAGTACGTGAACAAAACAATCGATGAGAACAAAAGAACTAAAAAACTACATTTCAATCAAGATTCAGCAGTCATTATATCGAAAATTGTTTTTTTTTTCAGAAAACCAGCTCTTGTTTAAAACCATACTCAAAAAGCAAATTCAAACATAAACAGCAGCAGTTTAACTGACCAGACTCTCAAATTTACCTTAAAGGAATATTTTCTATCTAGTTTTTGTGAAAGTTCTTAAATGGCGGAATGGAAAAACAACATGGGAACAATTTAAATTTATTTGATATTAAAATTCTAACCACTATTTTTATTATATTGTAAGCGAATGTTTTGTGCCGTTCTCCTAGATTTGCACAGTCGAACCCTCCCACGAGAACGAAATGGACATTATGAAAAGGAGAGTCAAAGTACTCTGGAAGATTTAAAATTTTAAATTTTCGATTCTCAGCAGATTATTTCTGAGAAATGCAGGAACGGCCATTTTGAACCAAAAAAGAGAAGAAAATCAGAACAAATGAAGACGCCGATAAAACAAATTGAATAGAGCAAGAGAAAAAACAAAGTCCCTTATCGTGACGATCGGACACGATTAGACACTTAGCTGGAACAGACATGAAGAAAAGTGGCTTCAGTGGGACAGCCTGAGTGGATCCGTACCCTCCTGTGCCACAAGATTGAGGAGATAACGGCATTATCTCAGGGGGAAAACGGAGGTGGAGGACTGGTGCCCAGAGACTGCGTGAATTATCACACTACTTTCTTGCTTCTGTGATGCCCTGAATAGTTCAATTACGATGTATTTTAGAGCATGAGTAGCTAGAGAGAGGAAAGGTCAATCCAGATCCAATATATTTAGTGTATAACTGTCACTAAAAACACAAAATAATGTATCTCGAGCCGGGCTTTTAATAGTAGTCATGTAGTCTGGGGATCCGAGACCCAGCTATGTTATTTTCGCATGGAAAAGAAAGCTGATCAAAAGTCGTTTGACTGATGGCCTAAAAAAGGTAACTTTTTACTTAGCCCTAAACAGACCAGAAAACTAACTGGCTAGTTCTAGATGGTGAAACACGAGTAGAATTAAGGTAGCTGGCGCCTGCCAGTCGTCAATAGGTGCTTTTGCTACGCTCCGTCACTATATAGTGTTTGGGCGAAGGTTACATATAACCAGGAAAAGTTGTTTTGCTTACTCT